ATTAGAATGATATCGGGCAGAGCAATACAAATACAGAAGGGCGTATACGTATGTTTCATTGACTACACAAAAGCATTTGATAAGGTCAACACAAAGATCTATTTGAACTGCTAGGAGAACTTGATTCTTTTGGGAAAGATTTTAGAATAATACAGAACTTATACAGGAGTAAATCGCCTGCATATCGATAAAAATGAATTGAGTCATTACACAAAAACAGAAAAAGACAAGTGTGTGTCTTCTTACTGGATTTATTCAACCTTTACAGCGTTACTATCCTTAAGAGAACTAGAAATCCTAACAGGATTTATTATCGGCAAATAGAATCTTAACAATATGAGATATGCAAATGAAACCATGTTGATGGCAGACACAGAAAAAAACCTGCAGGAAATGCCTCGACTGTCTAAAACAAGGTAGTAAAGGAAAGAAGGTAGAACGAACGAATCATTAATTGCAAGAAAGAATGTAAGGAGATCATAAGTAGATGATATTTTTCAGGTGATTTAAGAAATATTTTATTTTATTTATTAAACTTTGCCTACTACCACAACTCTAATGATGCCGAGAGCGAATCTGTTGAACACCAGAAATTATTAGAAAATGTTGTATTTATCATCTCTTTTGATATTATGATAAACTTTGACGTTTTAATAACATAAACGATATACTGATTAATACTCTAGGCCAAATCACGTTGAAAAACCGGTTCCCGTACGATCACCGAAGATAAGCAACATTGAGTCTGGTTAGTATCTAGGTGGGTCACCGCTTGGGAATACCATGTACTGTAAGCTTTGATGTGCTTGTGGTGAAATGAATAATGACTTGGAATTTTTAATCGTAGAGCCGAGTTCCAATTCCAATTGGGTTCGTTATATTCACTTATGCGCAACTACCATTAGGAAAGGTATGAATACACCTCTTCCCTCTCAGCTAAGGTTTAATTAGCAAGACTTGTATCACTAAATCATTATTATTATATTTTAAAAAATCTTACACGCTAAAAATATTTTCTGGCTTTAAATAACCTGCTATGAGTTGATGAGACGTAGAAAACGAATCAGTCAATCAATGATTAATACTCGACTGTTTATCTTCTTTCTTTGAAATCCACCAACGATGGTCGAAATTACTCAAAACCTAATATCAAGTTACCTCAACAAATTTTCGCCGGGCATTAAACATTAATTAACATGTTTGAAAGCACGAGAAACCAAAAGTATATATATATATAGAAACCAAAAATATATATATCAATGGTCAGGCAGTTTGTGCCGCTAGAACAATTACGACTGAGTAGCGAGTTCGATCCTCACTGGGTGTTTTGTACTTGTTGCAGCACATGCTTCTAGTTGGACGAAATGGAGTGGCAAACAAAATTTACACAATGTAAACGACAGATTGTGATTACTTGTCAAGGTGTAAGGAAATGGAATAAATTTTAACAAGGATATATTTTCATTTGTTTTTATGTAACTATTAACTGATTAACAAATGAGATAAAATACACTAGCATGAATGTAAATGTAGCTAAAACGGAAGAAGAAATTAAACTCTAGCTATTCGGAATTGTGTGTGTGATACACGCGCGTATGTGTTTGAACGAGTTCAGTCACTCATGTGAAAGATATCCCATGGTTTGGACAAAGTCCCGTGTTGGTGTGGTTACTTCAGTTCGTTGGGAATAAAAAAGAAGAAACAAAAAGTGTCCGTTTTTATAGCTGTTTAACAACGCCACCTAACGGCATTTTGACAAATCTGGCAAAACCAAGTCAGTGTAACCCACATACTTGCGGTCTGGTGCCATAAATCTATGCATAATAAATTACTATCATTGGATGTCAGTAACAGTTGAAATTTTGGGAAAATTGAGTTTAGGTGAGCATGCGCTTAATAAAAACGAGTGATCACACGTGGAGTGATTTGATTGGGTGATGAAGTGTAGCATAACATTTCGAATCAACTGTCGCATTGAACATGTTTTTTTTATAGCGTTGCGATCGAAGCGACGGTTTGTTATCTTTAGAAGCAGATCAAGTTACTGATGGAACGTGTATGATGTGCAAAACCCGAAACTCTCAATGAAACCAAACTACATCACAGACAACTCATTCCGACGCATCTTTACGATGTATTTTCCGGCACACACACACACACACACACACACACACACACACACACACACACACACACATATATATATATTCACGTATCAGGCGACTTTTGAAAGACCTAATTTTGAAGCTGATTTTAATGGGGTCGCGTCATACCTGAGATATAAAATTAGCGTTTGTACTGCCGGTCCTGGTTACGTCGTTGACCAAACTATATATCCATTTACTGTAGTCAAAAAGTACAGCTGTACTTAAAAAAATGATTTTGATAAAATTGATGTTTTATTTAACTGTATCCAATAATGCATGGATTATTCGCATATTAGTATAAAATACTGTTATAGTGAAACACACTTATTCTATTGTTAATAGACTCTCCCACCTATAATAAGTAGGAGTAGTAAGAGTAACAAGGGAGTAGGCAGAGAGTTGGTTAGTCAGTCGACGTCGGACGACCGTTAGTCGGATATTAAAGTACCAGCCACCACAACTAGATTACTGTGTCATTACCTATTATATCAAGTTCCTAACGTTTTGTACCTCGAACCTATTTTAGGACCGACTTAGTACAAATACAAGCCTCCACTGTGAAACCACTACATACCAAATACAAACATTCTAATATGCGTCTTTTCCATTGTTTACGTTTATAAGATGCTTAACTGTTTTTCGTTTGGTTGTTTGTGGCTGTGCGTGTTTACACAACGAGTATAGCGTTAATAACGATACTTTTATCATTCTCTTTTACTTTTTTAAACTTATTTCACTTGAAGATGATGTCGGAGTTAGCTCCTCCTTAGTTCTCCTTAGAGAGAAAACAGAAGTGAATCACTCGCTATTCAATAATGTAACATTTGCATAATCCATTACATGGATTCTTGCACAACACTTGGTAAATGAATTGTTTTTTTTTATGAAACCCTTTGTTTGAAATCCAAAAGAGATCTTGCTTAAGTTTGCAGCGTCAAAGCAACGTACGGTTTTTCAATTCAGAGTTCTATATAAATAAATGCGAATATCACTGTATCAGTGTGTCACACATTTTCAAATTTACTACTAGAGACCGCAGCCCAACATATCATACCATTTTGGAATCAGGTCGACTCTGAGAGCAAATTAAAAACATCCCAAACCGGATCCGGATCCGCAATCTTGAAATTTTGGATTCCCAAGTTTTCATTACTGCAATTGTTTTCAGCGATTTTATTACGTGTTTTTTTGCGACGAAGTTTTTGTACGATAACAATTTTTATAACTTGGAAATAAATTTGGGAATAATTGCAATTAATTGCGAAATCCAACGAAAGTCACCCATGAAATAAAAATAATTCTCTGTACGGAAAGTAAGGACCTACGTACATCAAATTGTCTTTAAATTAAGTGGCGGCAGAAGAATTATCGTTGATCTTTTAAAAGGTAAGCTTAATTATTAATTCAATACTTAAATGCAGCAATCAATTTTGAGTTCTTCTGTAGTTTATTGTTGCTTATTGCATACGGCCTCGCAAAAAGAAATCTCTGCTAACAGAGGACAAGATTGCAATAAAAAATAAGCCAAGTCTGCAGCGAAGAAAAGAAAGTCCCGAGAAAATGAAAACCCAGATCAAACGGCAGCCAGGAGAGCTTCCAATGCTGAAAATATGCAAATACTTAGGGACTCTCATTCATGCACAAGCCGAAGGCCCAACCAAGAACCCTCCACAGGAGCAAGATTAATTGCTGCCCGGTAGGGAGGTTTCTTAGCTAGTTTAGAATGATTGCCAACCGCAGCTAGAGATACACATCTGATCTGCTATTTAACCAATAGCTGGGGTGGCGGATAAGATATGGATTCATACTTTTTCAGAGGTTATTTCTCATTCCAAACCGCTATCCATTACTCCACCCGCACATGCTATTTCGTTTTGTTTTTTTCACTTTTGAAGTACACATAACTGCACCCCCACCCTCAAAAATTGAAATAGATGTAACGAGATATGACAACTGGATGTAAAACTACAGAGGCACCAAAGATCAGCTTGATATTGGGTTGGAACAAAGGCTCGAAGCGTTTTTCAATTTTGCATTTGAGCACTTGATTTCGCTTCACATGAGACTGAAATTTATGATTATGGTTTTAGATTCAGTGGTTAATGATGATCGAAACAAAATAATCCAGGTTACCTGTCACGCACGTGGTTGAATAAATCTATGTATAAATATCTATATATTATCTTTTAAATTCAATTAATTGTAAGTCCGATCCGTGCAATAAGGTCAAATTGGCAGCTGATCTAAAAAATGACTTACAAATTTTGTTTGCCACTGCATATAATCCAACTAGAAGCACGCACTGCAACAAGCACCCAGTGAGGATCGAACTCGCTACTCAGTTGTAATTGATCTAGCGACACAAACTTACTGACCATTACATCGTGTACATATAAGGGAAGGTATGTTAATGCTTTTGGTTTCTCGTGCTTTCAAATAAGTTATTTAATGTCAGGTGGAAATTTATTGAGGGAACTTGAATTTCTGTTCTTTGAAAACTACCAACGATGATCCTTTCGACCATCGTTGGTGGATTTCAAAGAAAGAAGATAAACAGTCGAGTATTAATCATTAATTGATTGATTCGTTTTCTACGTCTCATCAACTCATAGCAGGTTATTTAAAGCCAGAAAATATTTTTAGCGTGTAAGATTTTTTAAAATATAATAATAATGATTTAGTGATACAAGTCTTGCTAATTAAACCTTAGCTGAGAGGGAAGAGGTGTATTCATACCTTTCCTAATGGTAGTTGCGCATAAGTGAATATAACGAACCCAATTGGAATTGGAACTCGGCTCTACGATTAAAAAAATTCCAAGTCATTATTCATTTCACCACAAGCACATCAAAGCTTACAGTACATGGTATTCCCAAGCGGTGACCCACCCTAGATACTAACCAGACTCAATGTTGCTTATCTTCGGTGATCGTACGGGAACCGGTTTTTCAACGTGATTTGGCCTAGAGTATTAATCAGTATATCGTTTATGTTATTAAAACGTCAAAGTTTATCATAATATCAAAAGAGATGATAAATACAACATTTTCTAATAATTTCTGGTGTTCAACAGATTCGCTCTCGGCATCATTAGAGTTGTGGTAGTAGGCAAAGTTTAATAAATAAAATAAAATATTTCTTAAATCACCTGAAAAATATCATCTACTTATGATCTCCTTACATTCTTTCTTGCAATTAATGATTCGTTCGTTCTACCTTCTTTCCTTTACTACCTTGTTTTAGACAGTCGAGGCATTTCCTGCAGGTTTTTTTCTGTGTCTGCCATCAACATGGTTTCATTTGCATATCTCATATTGTTAAGATTCTATTTGCCGATAATAAATCCTGTTAGGATTTCTAGTTCTCTTGGGATAGTAACGCTGTAAAGGTTGAATAAATCCAGTAAGAAGACACACACTTGTCTTTTTCTGTTTTTGTGTAATGACTCAATTCATTTTTATCGATATGCAGGCGATTTACTCCCTGTATAAGTTCTGTATTATTCTAAAATCTTTCCCAAAAGAATCAAGTTCTCCTAGCAGTTCAAATAGATCTTTGTGTTGGACCTTATCAAATGCTTTTGTGTAGTCAATGAAACATACGTATACGCCCTTCTGTATTTGTATTGCTCTGCCCGATATCATTCTAATCATAAATATCACATTATTATTCCAGTTTCTTTAACGAAACCACAGGGTCCTTATCCTATTTGCAGTCTAATTCTGCTACGCGCTATATTCATCATAATTCATATGATAACCATGGTTACACCACTCATTAAGCTGATTGTCCAATGGAGTTAGCATTCATTTGCACCTGGAATCTTCGGCAACGCTACAAAGATAGACCTATTAAGATCTTCTGGTATTTCGCCACTGTCGTATATTTATTATTTCCGTAATTGATGCCCAACTCGTTTAAAGCTGATAATATTTCTATTACAACCCAATCTGATGCATCTGCTTTTTTCACGTTCCTTTTGATCAGGGCTCATCTTACTTCAGTCTTGAATATTTCAGGTTTTCTATATTTTTGTCTATTGGAGGTTTCTGTCTTTCGTCGTGAAATAGGTCTCCAAAGTATCCGTTTCATCGTTAAAGCATTTTTCTTTTTGTATTATGAGTGTTCTTTTGATTTCATGCGTCCTGTTGATGAGCACATCTTTAGTGCTGTTGTTTCTTTTATGCATAGAAAGCCCAAGATACCACCTACAAATTGGAAATATCAACATCAAGCAGCTGCAGAAGTTTAAATATCTGGGAAATGTTTTAACAGAGGATAAAAAATGCGACACTGAAATCCGAACACGCATTAGGCTAGTGTAAGACGCATTCCAAAATATAAGGAAAGTGCTGAGGAACAGAGACATTTTCGTTAGAAACAAAGAAAAGCGTGTTGAATGGCTATGTGATATCGATCTTCTTATATGGCAGTGAATGCTAATATATGTTTCGAAAATTAGGAGGAGGTAGTTATTATTATTTATTAAACAGTGTATATTACGTCTATCGGGATATACATTCGAAAATTTTAGGTACCTCCAAAGATTCGCTAAAAAATGATCATACATGAAAAAATAATCAAAACTTAATAAAAACAAAGTCTTTGTTATTATCAAGAGGAAAGACCAAGGTATTTTTGGTTATCTATCTATCTATCTATCTATCTATCTATCTATCTATCTATCTATCTATCTATCTCATGTTGTCTGTCTGTGTGTCTGTCGTGGGCGTTGTTACCTCGCCCAGGCCGCATTTCTCACCCGATTTCGATGCGGTTTTCAACACAAGTTTGCAAATGGCTGCAGTAAGGACATGACGGAGCCCGATTTTTGAGTTCCGAAAAAAATCGATAATCGAAAAAATCGATAATCGAAAAAATTCTTCTTACAGAAGGAATGATCGCATTTCAACTAAATTTGACACCCTCTTAGAGTCTACCATTAGAAGTCTTGTCCAGAAGTTTCATGACCACGGACCCCTAAACAGCGCGGAAAATCGATAAAACCCAAAAACCGATAAGCCCAGATTGCGTCTGAACCGCATGTCGGTTTTTAGTGAAAACTGAGCGGATTTATGAAGAGGCCATTGGGAGTCATCATGTGAAGTATCAACTCTGAGCACTCCCCAGAGTGCAAATCGACAATCGGTCAACCCTTAAAAATGTTTTTTCCGGTTTTTTAAATCTGATCGTATTGTGTTTATTTTGTTTAGTTCTTTTTTCGTAACGGATTTAATGTTTACTATAGAGCTTAGTTGGCAGTGTGATATAGGCAAGAAGTAAGGCATGTAACAACATCAGCACGGCAAGGGCACTCCTCTAAAGGCAAGGAAGGGTAAAAATATTTTAAGTCAAGTGATAGCGATTGCTGTATTAGTCGTACTATTTTTGAATCAAGCACGGGCAACGCCGAGCCATGCTGCTAGTTAAATTATATTTTTTCAATCTTTTTAGAACGTTCGAAATTTTGGTTAGTTATTCCCTTGACACCGCTATTTCTGTATACACTTTTAACTACCTCAGCAATATTTATTGTTTTAAAAAACGATGATTAGAATTTTTATAAAATCCAAACAGATGAAAATGGATTTATAAGATATTAAACACTATCTATTTATTAGATTGTTTATTTTCAAGAATAATTTTATATTTAAAAAATTATGGAAATATGTGTACCAAATATTTATTATATAACATTTTATAAAGAAATAGATATGAAAAAAAATTTTTTTCATAAATTTATAAAAAATATCTGTCAACAAGAACATTTAAATAAACACAGCAACCTGTAACTGTAATTATAAATTTAAAAAAAATGAATTTTTCGAACTTTTCTTTCATTTGCTATCGCCAAATCAATTCCATCGTTCTCGTCCATATTTTGATTACTTTGTAATATTTTATATATTTTTTTTAAATAAAACATTTCTTTTTAATTTTATTTCTTTATCAAATGGTAAATAATAAATCTTTATAAAAGGTAAATAATGAATATTGTATTTGATTCACATATTTGTATAATCTTGTAAATAAACATTGCTGAGAGAGTCAAAAGTGTATGCAGTAATAGCGGTGTCAAGGGAATAACCGTTTTTCTGACACACCTTATTTTTGAAAATGCGAAGGTTAAACATTGCTTAGATTTCTTTACTGGTGGAATGGGGTACACTTCTACGTGCCGCGTCCCTTCCAAAACATCCTACTTCTCGTGGCTCTTAGCAATTTTTTATACTTTTGCTAAGGCTCCCCTTCTGCCTTCTATTCACACAAGCTCGTCAGCTATGTCTCGCTGCCTTCCTCTATCTCTCTTACCCTCAATATGCCCTGTGAGAGTAAAGTCTTTTCAATCTCTCCTCCCTCATTATGCATTCAAGGAATTTCAGTTATCTCTTACTGATTCTGAACATAGGCGTTCCTTTTGTTGCTATTTTCTTTAAGATTTCCTCGATGCTTACTTGCTCCGTCTGGAATTCTCAGTATCGTTCTGTAGAAACACATTTCTGTTGCTTCCAATCTTCTCCTCATCTGTGGGAAGAATGTCCAGTATTTACTGCCATATAAGAGGATGGATAACACATAGCAATCTAGCACATTTTTCTTTGTTTCCAACGAATTTTTTTCTGTTTTTCTGCACTAAGCTTCTGGGAGGCATCTTTCGCTATTGTAACAATACGATTTCTCACACACCCTAAGGAGATAAGTAGATAAATTCCTTTTCATTTTAAGTCAACTTCACTACCTGGGTTTACAAGGAATTACGTCTGCAGTCTATCTTTGAGTCAATTGCCAGAGTTTCCAGGATTTATGTCATCCATCCCGCCTTTGAATTGGCAAATATAAAATTTTGTTAATGATTTTAGATAATCATAAAAGTGGTCCTTTGAAAAAACTGACCACCCATCCAGCTTTTGGGTTGTCTACTTTTCCGGAACACAAGTGGACGGATAAGGGGGTGGGACCCCAGACACTATCCATATAAGCAGAGAGAGGCAGGAAGTCAGCAATGAATAGGCGGCCAGCGAGTAAGTGCGAAGGGACCAGCGAGCAGTGAGGAATCAGCAGTCGCCTAGACGATTAATGAATGTAAGGGTCCTTTTTCTGTGACCGGAAGTTAGGAAGATAGCAGCTCAGCCGAAGAAAAACATTGGTGGTTTAGTAAGAATTCGTATTGTTGCTCTTTCTTGAAAATCATTTGTCGTTATACTTTGTTCAATTCGATCACGGCCAAAGAACATAGCAAGTCGAGTGCATATGCAGACACAGCCAACCTTGAATGTTATCACAGTTGTGTAGTGAACGACGTGCGGACTACGTCGTCACACTATTCCAATGCGCATTTTGATTTCGGTTTCGCATTTTCCATCCTCTGTTAAAACACTTCCAATATATTTAATTTTTTTTTACTTGTTGGATGTTGACATCCCCAATTTGTATCTCGCATCTTGCGCTTTTCCTCTTGCTGATGACCATACGTACTTTCTGTCATCTTGCAGTTGATGTTTAGTCCTTTTTTCTTGCTTTCTTTTACTATCCTGTCTAGGAGGTCTTGTAGTTTTCTTTCTGTGTCAGTCGTCAACACAATGTCATCTGCGTATCTTATTTTGTTAAGATTACAAAGTCTCCATCTCGTCATCCAACTTTCGCATTTGCGACCTGGAGGTTCCTGGCAAAGATAGCAAGGCTCTTTGAATCTTCTTGGATATTGTTCTGTTGGTTGTAAAGGGCTCATAGTAACAGTTCACGTTTCAAAGCTTCTAAATTGTTGGTCCGCTGCTGAAAGTTAAGCTTTTTTTTTTCTTTTTTTTTATTTTATCTTTAACAGTAATAATATGTTTATTGAATTTGCTGCATGTTGACAACAGTGAATGACCAACTCGGCTTTTTCTCTCGGCCGGCGATCCAAATCGTTTCGGTTTGGCAATGAAAAACTTCAACACAGAGAATTTTAACTTAACTATTTTAT